ACTAGGAAAAATTAGTGAGAGTCCCGTCCTCTGGAGACGCCCTTCCGAACCATCCAGCGGGAAGGAGCAGGTCTGGTCTCTGAAGCAGAACTTGGAAAAACTCCTTGGAGGCGCCTCCGACAGCCGGAACACTTGTGGGAAGGTGCCCAGGAGCGGGAATCCTCTCCGTTTAACCCTTGACACCCCTGTCAATCCCACAGGGTACGGGCACCTGCGTGCTGGTCAACCCCCAACCCCGGCAGCCTCATAATCTAGCCCGGGAGAGCGGCGATGGAAACCCCTGGATGTTTAAGCTCAGCGAACAGATGATGCGGCTGACGACCTGGCATCACCAGGATGATCCCGCTAAGGTCGCCGGCCTCCTGGAAGTAGGCAGCTGACACCAGGGCCACATCCCATCCGTTGCATATTTCGAGGGAGCTCCGGAGGGAAGACACTACATAAAAGTGGCCGCCAGATGGCGCCCGACAACTGGCACGAAAGCCAGCAGGACCCATCCCAACGCACGGGCTGACTGGCGAGGGCGCTCTGCGGGCCACCCGGACACCGGATCTCCTCTCAGTCCACCTAGGATCGGGTCTCCCCGCCCGGGGCGGGTGGCCCGTGGCATTAACCACGAAGCTCCCAGCTGGTAGGGCATGACCCCGACAGCAGAATGGAAATTTGAAAATGTTTATGGGTTGCTGACAGGAATGGGTTAGAATTCCCCCCACATGACTCCCAGCTGGCGCTGGCCGTTTCTGGGCTCTGGAGAGGACTGGCAATTCCCCTAGACGCCCAGTTCAGGCTTCCCAGAGCTTCTCCCCGGCCCCAGAGTGGGCTTCATCAGTTCTTTAGGGACTTGGCGGGGCGGGGCTGTAAAACTGAAACCTTGGAAGTACTCAGAAACACTTGAATAAAGTTAAAAACAAAATTGATCTCTGCCTATACTACAAGCAAAGTCAAATGGCAACACATGGGGAACATGTGTGCAAACACACGTGCAATATGATTATTGATTTCAGCGTTACTTATTATAATAATAGAAAACTGGGAAAAAATAGTCATTAAGAGGGACCAGGTTAAGTAGATTCCTGTGCTTCAGTACAATGCAACAGTATGGATTTGGGTTCTGGTTCATTGTTATTTTTACTTTTAAAATGAAACAGATCAATAGGTACCGACATAGAAAGGTATTGGTGATGGGCTGTTAAATGAAAAACAACAACAAAAATGACAACAACAACAAGAAGTTGTAGAGCTCTTAAAAGTGAAAATATGCACTTTCTTTTAAAAATACTTATAAGGAAAGGCAAATGAGTTAGAATAACAATTTTGCAAAACCAGAATAAAACTTCCCCTATTTTAACAGTTATTATGGAGCCAAGAATTCTGTGCAATGTTGGCGGAGGTACAGACAGGTCGGTCAATGGAACAGAGTAGAGACCCAAACAAAGAAGCCCAGCTGATTTTAGCGGATGTGCAAGGATGTGCAAAGCAATTCATAGGAGAAAAGACGGCCTTTCCATTGAGTGGGAGTGGGGCCATCAGATATCCACAGGCAAACAAAACAAAAAGCCCTCGACGTAAACACCTACACCTCACAGCTCATGAAAACATTAACTCCAAGTGCTTACATATAAGCACATAAAATGCTTATATGTAAAATGCAAAACACTGGGGAAAACTCTGTAAGAAAAACTGGGGCTCTAGCGCCAGGCACAGGGACTTTAGACTCGAACCCCCACATGTGATCTATCTAAAAAGAAATGAATAAATTATAATTTACTAAAATTTAAAACCTAGGCTCTGTGACAAATGAAATGACAAAGTGCACACTGGGTGGAAATATTTGCAAACCACGTATCCAGTCAGGGGGCAGTGTCCGAAGGTTTGAGACTCCTCAAAACGTGGCAGTGAAAACAAACAACGCTGTTACAATGGGCGACGGACATGAACAGGTGTTTCACTGAGGAGAACGTACAGATGGCAGAGAAGCGGATGGAAACGTTGAAAGCATAGTGAGATAGTCTGACGCACATATCAGAAACCCTTAAAATAAATGTAAGGACAGTCAGTCCTGCATGCTGGTGAGGATGTGGAGAAACCAGTCACTCACGAGTTGATGGCGGTGATGTAAAATGATATAGCTGCTCTGGAAAACAGTATGGCATTAGGAAAAAGAGAGAAAGCAGACAACAATAACAAAAGCATGCTGTCATTACACATCCCAGCAACACAACCCCTCGGGGCGTTTATCCCAGAGAAATGAAACCTGTGCCATAAAGGGCTGACTCTGCAGGTCTGGGACGTGCAGCACTTGCACGTTATAAAGAAAGGTCTGACCGGCTTGGCTCCAGAAGGAAACCTGCAAGCCCTTGGAACATCCTGCCTGGTAAGTGTCTTAGGTCAGCCAGGCCTTGGGTAGTTTGGGCCGACAATATGATATATGGTGGGGCAGGCTGGGCTGGGGGCCTGCGGGCCGTGTGGTGGTGTCGGTTTGACCTCCAGGAAGTCAGCTCAGTGGAGTCCTGTGAGCCCCCCAGGGAGTTCAGCATCACGCTCTGGAGGACCCTCCCTTGGGACTGACACCACTATGTTCACTCAAAGAGTCTCGGGCCGAAAGTTCGTAGCAGCTCTGTTTTTCACAGCTCAAACTGGGGGGGAAAACAAAAACAAAGTGGTTTAAGGAGTGAGGCAGGTGTTGTTTGTCTTGGAAAAGGAGAGAAGTGTTTGGAGGTACCTGCCAGAGGGAAGATAACGAACAGTCCCAGGCAGTGGACCATCTGTGACATGGGGAGATGACGTGGGCTGAGAAAATGCTTCTGGGCCAGGGAACGGGTCCCTCGGCCAACAGTGTCATTGTCCTTTTGGGTGTTATGTGTGGGGCTCGGCCAAGATGAGCAAGAAGGAGACGGAGATTTTGGAGCTGGACCCTTTGTGCTGTGTCAGGTCTAGGAGGCATCCGGGTTAGAAAAGAAAACCAGTGTGGTGGGTGGAGATCTAGTTCCAGATGGAGAACAAATCTGGGGTGTGTGAGCATTGCATTCATCGTGAACGCCATAGAGACGGACAAAGACTAACTGGAACTTTAAGAAAACATAACCAGTTGGGAGAGTCTGTGGGAGGCTGTAGGACTTTAATGGAAGCTCTCGCACTCTGCCTAATTGTGAAAACGCTACATCCAAGAACCAAGCAGTAAAAACCGTTTCTAATAAAGCTCTATGGTTCTAATGTCCCCTTGCCTCAGCTGCCATTTTCCCTTATGTAAGCACCCCTCCATTTGGCACCCAGGTGAGAATGCACACACGGCTTGCCATGTCTGCTTGTCCGGGGTTGCAACCCTTTCTTTTTCCCACATATGTCCTTTTTGGTGATGAAACCCCTTCCTTACAGTAGTAGCCTTGGTACCCTTGAACTACCCTTCTCGTCAGTACGATGCTGCTCCTTCCACGTGTGTGTCCGCAAGGTGGTAAGTGTGAGGAAGCCCTTACTGCCCTTTGCTGCCTTGTTTCTGGTGCTGAGACACACTTGGAAACTATCCAGTTTTAGGGAAGGGTTGGAGAAATATAAGCAAAGCAAAATGCATAAACTCAGTACTTTACACAACTCTCCCCATATCCAAAAAAAGTATGAATACTCTTGACAGAGGGTTTCTGTGAGGACACCCCACATTCTAGCCTCTGCTCAGAGTGGGTCCCCTTCTTCTGACCACACGAGTCTTCACCCCCCTCCTCTCCACATGGGTTGCTCTGGTTGCAGGTTCACCTTCCTGCCTACGCAAGGGGCAGTTTTGGAGGAAGTATCCCTCAAAATTGGAGCTATCCTACACAGAAGAGAGCGCCTTCAGCAGAGCAGTTCGGAGTAACCTTTGGCTCTCAAGATCTGGATCCCTTCCAAGTCTCCCTGCCAGCGGGGAGTGTAATATGATTCTTCTTTCTCCCTGATTCTTCTAACTGTAACACACACACACACACACACACACACACACACACACACACACACTTAGAGACAGTAAAGTCTAAATTTACTATAAAGAATAGAAGGATCTCCCCAAATGTCCCATAGTGTACCTTCAGGTCAGGATAGAGGTAGCAGGTAACATACTCACATACATCCACGGAGCTTCTCCTTTTGCTTTCAGCCTTACTATCCAGAGCCCCTAACTTGACCCAATTACAAGACTGCTTACCCCATGATTACTATCCCAAGGCCAAAGAGTTCTAAAATTGAAACAAAATATTTTAGTTTCGATTTATCTTTACATTTCAGACCCTGGCCAGGTGGCCCTGTTGGTTGAAGTGTCATCCCGTGCACCGAAATGTTGTAGGGCACATACCTAGGTTATGGGTTTGGTGCCCAACAAGGGCAAGCACAGGAGGCAACTGGTCAATATTTCTCTCTCACACCAGTGTTTCTCTCTCTGTCGCTCTCTGCTTCTGTCTGTCTCTGTCCCCATCCTCTCCCTCTAAAATAAAAAAAAATTTCAGACCACATAAGGGGCTCTTGGGTGAAGCCTTCTCTTTTGTGTATATTTATGTGTATGAAAGAGATGATTTATGATCTTTCCAGACAAGCAATCTCTCTGGGAACTGGGAGACGATCTTACCTATGGTCCAAGGCTGCTCCCATAACTGAAGAAAACCACATTCACTCTTGTGGACCTTCATATCACCACTTGCCCTACCTCCCAGCCAGAAGTGTCACTCGGATGAGCCCATTCAGCCTACCAAGAAAAGGACGGAAGGCATGGGACCTTGTCTTACTCATCTCTTGGGCCCACATTAGAGTCAAGTAAGTAATAGCCACTTAATCAATGCTAAATTGCATGCAATGAACCCATTTATGTAGTATAAAATATATACTATTATATGCACATCCTCAAGAAGAGTATAAACAAGAGACTTCCAACTATTAAAGTGGAGAGAAGACCCTATTAGAGAAAAAATGAAAATTCCCCCATCTGTAGATAAAAAGATACAATGATGCTTCTCAGTAATTAACTGATATAAACAGAACCCTCACAAAAGCACTCTTTTCAGGGTTTTACCCAGGGCAAGTTTAACGTCCTTGTTCCTCAAACTGTAGATCAAAGGGTTGAGCATGGGAACCACGTTGGTGTAGAAGACGGAAGCATACTTGCTCTGGTCCACAGACCCAGGGAGAGAGGTTGCTAGGTAGGTAAATGCCCCTGACCCAAAAAACAGAGCCACAGCAAGGACGTGGGAGCTGCATGTGCTGAAGGCTTTGGCCCTTCCCTCTGCAGAAGGGATACGGAGGATACTGTGGAGAATCAAAGTGTAAGAGATGAAGATGCTAACGCTAGATGTCGAGATGACCACTCCAACAACAACAGAAAACACCAGCCCATTGGACCGGGTGCTGGTGCAGGAGAGCTGCAGGAGGGGGAGTACTTCGCACAGGTAATGGTTGATGACGTTGGAGTCGCAGAAGCTCAGTCTCAGCATGCTTCCAGTGTGGGCCATGGCCCCCGCGAACCCTGCCATGTAGGAAATGAACATCAGCAGAGCACAGACCTGGGGGGACATGGTGACCGTGTACAGCAGAGGCTTGCAGATAGCCACATAGCGGTCATACGCCATGGCTACCAGCACGTAGCACTCAGAACTGACAAAGAAACAGAAGAAAAATAGTTGAGTCATGCATCCCGAGAAAGAGATGATATTTTCTGACACAAAATCATTCAGCATTTTGGGGGTAAAGACGCAAGAGTAACAGAGATCTACAAAAGACAAGTTGAAAAGGAAAAAGTACATTGGAGTGTGAAGGCTAGAATTCAGCCCAATTAGGGTGATCAAGCCGAAGTTGCCCACCATGGTAAACACATAGATCCCTAAGAACAGGAGGAACAGGGGGACATGGAGCTCTGACTGTTCTGAGAATCCCACAAAAATAAATTCAGTCACTGAGGAGCTATTTCTCGGAGTCATTCTCTTCTGAGGGGTGCTCTGTGGAAACAAGGGAAAAATACATCAATTGATGATCGGCAGGAGCATGGATGATGAGAGAGATGAGATGGAGCTGGCTGCCCTCCCTTGCACCTTGCTTCCTACAAGCGTGAAACCAGCTCAAAATGGTTCTCCCCTGTCTGATGAGGTGCTCAGTTGTTATTCAGAGACCACAGACCAAAACCACAAGTTGCAGCTGGAGCATGCGTAGATGGGAGAACTCTGGCCTCCAGCTGCACCTGGAACCAAAGCCCCCAACCCCTGCCCGACCCCATAGAACCGAAGGACCAGGACATAACTGGAACTTGGTCTGTTGTCCAGGAAGATCTGGTGTTGATGCCCCTTCACCATGTGTGGCCAAGTTCCAAGGTCCTCCAAGAATACTCGCTCCACCAGCACTTCTGCACACCTGTTCCCCTTAGCCCCTTAAAAACCCTTTGCCTAGTCAATCAAGCAAGATGGATTTGAGGCACCAGTAGGTCTCCCATCTGCTTGCTTGGTACCTTTTCGATCAATAAACCCTTACTTACGTCAAACCCTGATGTTTTGACTTTTGGTTTTTGGAAGCATCGGGCACACAGGCTGGTTCAGTAACACTCCCTGATGCCCCCACCTGAGCACTGTCATGTGCCTGTGACTGAGTCTCAGTGCCCCTGGGCTGACCCTGAATCTTGGCTAGAGTCCGTGAGCATGTGTGGCAAGAATTCCATCCCTTCCTCAGAGATGAGAAGATTGAATACCTGTGTTGGCTGCCCAAGGAGTCTCAGAAAGACAGCCCAGGAGCCGGGAGTACAACCTGAAGCCCACTGCCTCAGGATGTGCTGAGAGCTCTCGTGTACCCCACTGTCTCCACCCACCCTTTGCCTCCTTCCCCTGCCAGCTACGGGGTCCTGTCCCCCACCCACCCCCTGGGGAGAAAGCCAGCAGTGTCCCTTGCTGTCTCTGCTCATCCTACCTTCATCTTCTAAGCCCCCTCATTCCATCTTTTCAAAGTCAGTGTTGAGAGCAGAGGGGAGATCAATATACCCCAGACCTCTTGGTTATGGGTTTACAAGAAATTCATCAGAGAAGATGGGATTCAGGCATTCACCTCCCTTCCCTCTGGTTCCCTCAGTGCTGGGTTGCCTGCATCTCTTCTTCCATCAGCCCACCAGAGAGAATGGTGTTAGTGCGTGAAGCAGACAGCCTCGTGTCAACACTGCTGACTCCCCTGGTGCTGAGGACCGGGGCTTCTGCAGATCCCAGTCTCCAGGTGCTCTAGGAATAGACCAAGATTTCTGTCTGTGGATATTCTCAGATGGTCTGCATTGACTTCAGGAGAAAAAGTAGCAATGCTCATTTTCCCCAGAACCCCAGCTAGCATATCATGAAGAACTCGATGATGCTCTTTGGTGATCTCGGGACCTCATTAGGCGCCATTTCCTCTAGGAATTTTTCAGACTGTCCCTGCAGGGAAGGTATTGCACTCGTTGCTTAGGGCGAGGAAGATGATTCTTACCCAGCATCTTGGGACTCTGGTGAGCCATTCAAAGTTTCCTTTTACTCCAGAGATTTCAGGACTTCTGGTGTGAGGTTGGGTACCTCATTTTTCCTCTCTTTCATTAACTTGGACACCTGAGCTTGACTTTAAGGAAGAGTGGCTCCAAACTTATTTTGGCTACCATTTCAAAATTTTCAAAGGGAGATTTGAAAATAATACAAAAAAAAAAGTTAGACCAGAGTTGTAGGTGCTACAGAAAGAGCACCTCAGACAACAGGCTTCTAGCACCTTGAGCTGCTCAGAGCAGTAAAGACACTCCTCCCCCCACCCCCCGCCCCTGCCATCTGCTCTCAGCTCTGCCAAGGGCCACAGACAGGCCTTTGCTATATATGAGAAGGTCAAAATACGACACTGATATGTAAGAAAGCACACACACTCACCTGCATCAATTTACTTTATAGATACGTGCAGGCTTTGGGGGTAACAGGGGTTATACCTGAAGTTTCCAGTCCCATGATCCTCCAGTGACAAAGCTGCTCTCCCTACGATCTGCTACATGAATGTTCTATGAAACACTCAAAGACGCATGAGCAACTGCATTTATAAGTTTCCACTGAGGTTTATTTTCATGCCCTATCACTATAATTATTAGTAGCACACCCTATCACTCTTAAGTGTCTGGGTTCTGATAACAAGTTATGTAGTCACCTTCCTGGAATCAGCATAAGTAGCTACTCAGACCCTCTGGCCTCTGCTATTTCCTGACCCACTGACCTCCACCTCAGTTCCGACCATGGGAATCTCTGTCTTTACCCGCCTTGCCCTCTGAGTTCTCATTAACTGAACCCACTCTCCCTGGCCAACCAATATTATCTTGTCAGTAAATTAGGCTTTAAAAATGGGTAGAGCATTAACAGCAAGCTGTTTCTGGTTTTATGTAGCCCAAAACCCTGAAGCAAAGAATTATAAACACTAGCTACTAGATAATAAATCATAGGATATTAAGAAAATAGAATTCCATGTAGCTATGACACTTAATAGCATAGAACCTATTACAAACCTATTGTCACAAACCTATTATGGAACAAAAGAAGCCAACCACAAAAATCATACTTAATGATTTCATTTGTATAAAGTTCAAAAACCAGGAAACCAGTTTTTGGTGTTAGAAGTCAGATAGCAGTTATTTGTGGTTGGGCAGCTGTTTCCAGCAATCTTACAAATTTTGTATTCAGAAAATCTCTACTGAAAGAACAAAACTGAGAATTCTGGATAAGATATAAAAGTCATTTATTTGTTCATGTTTGAGTTGGCAGAAACAAAGTGAATTCTCAAGAGAGCAAAAGAGAAAAGATTTAAAAGTAAGAATCCAGACGGAAGCACAAGCAGTGAACTTGGGTTTGTCCTTGGGGAACTAGTGGAGTCCCTGTGGCTCAAAGTCAGGGTTTAATTGGGCTGTCTATGCAGGACATGAGAGAGACAGTCTGGGACTCAAAAGGTGGGGCGTTTGGAACCATTACTGGCTCAGCATACTGAATCCCAAAGGGAAACATCTTCCATGGCTACATTAGGGGAAGAAAAAACCCCACAGAAGGCGGCAAAGAAGGCGTCTGAGTTGGCATTGGCTGTAGAAGGGCAGGAAAAGAAAAAATATCCCCTATGAATTTCTAACCACCTCTGTGTTTCAGATAAAACAATTAATATTATACATGTAACAAAAGAAAAAAGAAAAGAAAAGAGAAAGAAAAAAACAAACTCCTCTCTGGAGAATAAAATTTAAATCCAGGTATCAAATAATTTTTTCCAGGTAACCATTCAAGGATCATGAACTCTTTGTCTTTTTTTAAATCCTCACCCAAGGATATGCTTTTAAGTTGGTTTTAGATAGAGAGGAAGGGTGTGTGTGTGTGTGTGTGTGTGTGTGTGTGTGTGTGGAGAGAGAGAGAGAGAGAGAGAGAGAGAGAGAGAGGCATTGATTGGTGGCTTCCCATATGCATCCCAACAGGGAAACCTGCAACCTACATATGTGCTCTGATCGAGGATCAAACAGGCAACCTTTTGGAGCATAGGACAATGCTCAACCAACTGAGATGCCCAGCCAGGGCAAATCATGAGCTCTTAATGGAAACCACTAGACAAGAACAAAATAAAATGATAGGAAAGAGAATCACCATGCAAGATGAACCACAAGCTACAGAATCAGACCTGCAAAATTACTAGGCTTATCAGGGACAGAATACAAAATAAATGTACTCAAAGAAAAAAAAAAGAATAACTCGAAAGTACAATAAAAAACAATAAAATTAAGAAGGCAGATTAAAAAAATCAAATATAACTTTTAGAAATAAAAATAATAGTTGAAATTAAAAACTCTCTGAATATGTTAAATGGTCTATGAGACACAGGTGAACAGAAACTAAATAAACTGGAGAGTAGATCTAAAGAAATTATCCAGAAGTCAGTATCAGCTGAAGAGGGGTGGGGAGAGACTGTAAATTAGAAATAGAGAAATAGAGAAGATCAAACACATATGGAGAGAGGCTTTACCACATTCTAGGCCCTGCAGTTTGCTTTAGGAATAAAGCAACAGTCACAACTAACATAACTCCTGACCTTTCAAATGTATAACCTAGGTGGAGAAACCTGGACTAAGCAGATGCCTACAGATAACTCATTAGGAATACAGTAAGTGTGCTAAAAGAGGTTTTGGGGTGCTATGAAACCATTTAATGGGGTGTCCTACTAAGTCTGGAAAGTCAGGGAAGGCCTCCCTGAGGAAGTGAAATTCATATTTAAAACTAAAAAGTAAGGAGGGGTAATACTTGTTCAAACTAAAATGTAAGTAGGGATAAAAAGAGATTCTTGTCTGTGACTGTCCAGCATTGAACCTCCAACTGCGCCGGGGAAGGACTGAACCTCCCTGGGAATCTGGTCTTGCATGAGCCTCGGTGGGAGTCAGGACTTGGCCTCCTCCTGTGAAATCTGTCCAGAGAACGTAAGACCTGCACTCAGCTAGCCATATTCCCATGCAGGACTCTGGCTGTGGGACAAGTGACACAAAGAAACAGAAACAATTTCCATTTCATTTTGCAAAGACAAAGGACCTACCAGTCGGTGACACATGTTGGGTGGGTGTCGGTGGGACCAGCGGGACTGGGCAGCACAGCCTGACCAGCTGGGTCCCTGGTGCAAGTTGGCCGCAATTCCACCACCTGGCTCCCTCTAAACCCTTCCTGGCTCGGAGAGCTGGTTCCTCCGCTTGCTCTAAGAGTCTGTGAACCAGAAGTCCCATTTCTTGCCAATTAACACTTTTTTTTTGTCCAAAATTAACCAGAATCAACTCCTGCTGTTTGCAGTAAACAGCCCTGGATGGTATAATAGAGTCTGGAGATACAGGGGGCTGTGGGCAGGGAGTGGAAATGGGGAATCATTCCAGCCTATGGGGCAACTTTCTCATAGCCCTGTGATGAAGGCAGGCACACCTGCCAAAGTTGCCTTCTTAAAG